TAATAAATGTGGTGCCTCCCCCCACCCGCCAAAACCATTGCCCACCCCTGGTGGCCCACTCCACAATGAACATTTTCAGTGATCTGTTTTTCCACAGCCCACAGAATGGGAGTTGAAGGTTTTGTTTAATGCGGTTTCCCTTGCCATGTTGACCTTGTGTATACAAGCAAAGCACCGTGTTTCGATCCACCAGCCAGGGGTGTCTGCAGGTGGTGGTCAAAAAAGTCAAAATGGCACCTGCTCTCTTGAATGTTTTTGACCGTATCCTGTGGACATTCCTGCAGCCGACCACATTTTTTTGTTTTTCAACAGAAGTGGGGAGGACATACATACGTTGCCAAACTGGACAGGGCTAGAATTTTTGTTTGTTTGAGATTCCTGCCTTCCTGCCTTCCTCCCTTCTTTCCTTCCTCTCTCCTCCTCTCTCCTTCTTTCTTTCCTCCCTCCCTCCCTTCCTCTCATTCTCTCTCTCTCCTTCCTTCCTTCCCTCCCTCCCCTCTTCTTCCTTCCTTCCCTCCTTCCCTCCCTCCCTCTCCCCTCCTCATTCTCCTCCCTCCCTCCCTCTCCTTTCTTCCTTCCTCTTCCTCTTTCCTTCCTTCTTTCCTCCCTCTCATTCTCTCCCCTCCCTCCCTCCCTCTCCCCTCCTCATTCTCCTCCCTCCCTCTCCTTTCTTCCTTCCTCTTTCTCCTTCCTCCCTCCCTCCCTCCTTCTCTCTTTGTCTCTTCCTTTTTCTTTTTCTTTTCTTTCTGTTTCTTCCAAAAATAACTCTCAAACACATGCAAAGATTCACACACAAGTTTTGCATTTGTTTTCCCACCCAAAACAAGAAGAAAGTTTCTCAGCAATTTGCTGTCAAAGTTCAGAGGCGTAATTTTTAGGGCTGCAAAAAAACGTGTTGGGGACTGAAGTTCATCGACTTCTGAGTGGGTTTCTCGTGTGTGTGGTTGTGTGTGTACAGGCAGGGGGGGTGTCAATCAGCAGGAATGCTTCTGCGATAAACTCCACCATCCCCTGGATTTGCAAGCAAAACTGGGATCGCCCTCCAGCAAACATTAGCAAGCATCCTCTTAAAATCAGGGATACTCCAGACAAAAAATCTGAAGTAGCTACAATTTACATACCCCACACTTAACTATGACTAACTGAACTGTGGCTTACTCAAGCCAGTTTCCTAGGCTTGCAGAAGAGACCGGAATTAAATACCCTGCTGCGGCCTTTTGGGCTAAGAAGGCAGCAGCAAATCACTTTTTGCTGCCAAGGGAACTGCAAAGAGGGGGTGGCAGCACCCAGGTGACTTTGGCTGATCTCAAAAAAATAACCAGGGATGGCCGTGGTTAATGCTTGGATGGGAGACCACGAGGAGATTAGTCTGGGAAATGACAATCCCAGAATTGCAAAGTACAGGTAGTCCCCGGGTTAAGAACACGCAGGTTGCAGGTGACCCATCGTTAAGAATGAAGCCTACTGTAGCAAAAATTGAGTTAAATGCACAATACTACTTATACAGTATTATACAATCATACTGTTCTGACTTACATACAAATTCGACTTAAGGACAGACCTTGGGAACGGAACTTGGTCTTAACCTGGGGACTACCTGTATTACTATATCGTAGCAAAACCACCATGGATGCGTCCATAAGTGAGTCTTGATTCAAGGGAATCTTCAGCTTCTAGCTGGGGAACAAGCCAAACAGCTTCTGAAACAGATGATACATTTCCTGCCACTCTTCCTTTCTCCATTCTTCCCCTAGAAATGGTATTTGCCAAGCTAAACTTACAGCTGCAAGACAGTGGCTAAAATTAAACTCGAGACTGTTAAGCCCTTATAAAGAAAATGGGACAAGGACATGAACGTTTGGAAGATAAACACTGGCAAAGACTCCGGATTGCAAGGCAGTCTACCTCACATGAATAAAGGGGTCTTCCTATCTTCATGGGGAATACCCCAAAGCCGGCTATTTGGTTGCACGACGCAGCCTCCAATACTAACAATCGTAGCCTAATTCCAGCCAGCTCGTTTTGCTTCTAGTTTGCATCACCGTCGTGCGTCTGTCTCCTTGGGCCGCACCTTTTCCTCGGAACGTTTAAAATCTGGTTTTCGGTTTGCTGCTTCTGCAAACGATTTTCTCCCCGTCGGGTCTTTAAAAGCCATTCCTGCTCTGTCGCTAACCCTCTTCCCCTCCCCTCACTTGCTCGCCCACCAGGTCTTCAAGCTGCCCCAAAGCCACCTCCCTCCTCCCCACGTGCGTCTCGGGGTGTGGGAACGCTTGCCCGCTGACCTAATTCTTTTGCTGAGCGGAGGTCAGGTTGGCACTGCAGCTCCAGGTTGGCTGCGCCTCACGGCAGAAGGCCAGCGGAAGGGCATCGGTGTTGGTCTGGGCAGAGCGTCTTGCATTTCCAGCCAGCGAGTTCCCTCCCTCCTCCTCCGCCTTGTGTTTCTCCCCGAGATGGTGATCTCTGTGTACTGGTGCACCTTACAAAGGAGCACCCCAGAACAGCAAATCCTACAGAGACATGACAGGGAGCCTCCTGTGCCGGTGTGTTAGAGTGATCCTCTAAATGGGAGGCAGCAATAGGGCCCTCCCTCTGCAGTGGGGATGGGAAAGCAGCAGCAGCACAGGAACTCAGACAGAGAGACAGCATGCAGCTGGATGGTCGCTGCCCATTTCAAGTAGCTCTTAACTGTCCCGCGCAGCAGACCAAGGAAGGCGCCTTCTTGAAAGCCGGAGGGTTTCCACGTTGTCTTCACGGCGGGTTTTTTGCACCATTTCCAAGTGGGGTCATGATGGTCACTGCCTGCGTCCTGAGGTCCAGTGGAGGACACTGTCCTGGTGCTTCTAGGCTCCTCCAACTTCATTTATTAAAAATGATGTTCATTAAAATGAAATGGAAAGGTAGAGGGTTGCGGAACAAAGCCAACCCTCAACCTCTTAATTCTAGGAAAGTTTCTGGGGCACACCAAGACCCTACAAAGGAGGAGGGGGCTTAAAAATGGAATTGGTGGCTGTGAGCGTGCAATCGAAGCCCCGGCCTCAGGCTAACTTAGTCTGCCCCGCATGCTACCGCCATAAACCATGATCTGCAAGCTGCAGTAGATTTCACAAAATGCTGAACCAGAACAAGATCAGTCCTGGACTTAAGGTAACAGGTGACTCCAGCCCACGGGGTTGGAGGGGGGAGAAAGAGGGAAGGAGGGCAAGGGAAGAGAACTGGTCCTGGCTTGACCCCAGAGCCCACTTGCACGCCACAGAATGGGAACAAGACCAGAGAGCGGCTGGGGACAGGAATCTCTCTGTACTTCTGTCTGCAGATGATGTCCTGTTGGCTGAAAACCCAAAAGATTTGCAGCAGATATTAGCTAGATTATATGATGCAGCGAGGTCTGTGAATCTGAAAATTAACACCACAAAGACCAAGGAAGCTGTGCTCGATAGGAAAAGTGGAGCAAATGATTGCAGCGTGTCCATAAAACTCGAGCAAGCTGGTGAATGTGTATACCTGCAATAGAAGGCTTACTAAACATGGGAAAACATGGAGAAATTTTCCAATGGGCAAAGGCTGATAGGAGTGTAGTGGGTAATATGAAGGGACATTGCCCTCTCTTGGGCAGTTGAACTATTTGTTAAAATAAGCCTAAACAGCTGTGTATACAGCAGTTCCACGGGGTATGGTCAAAAAAGTCAAATGGCAGCTGCAACAGTGTGATCAAAGTTCTGGCTTTTTCGTGTGTGGTGCACACACATCACACATAAACAGGCAGAGATTTAATGGCATTACCTTGATGTTCGTGACCATGCCCCGCAGACACCCCTGTGGGTATAAAAACCCGCTTCTGCCCACTTGATTTTATGGAAATGAGAGTTGGGTAGATCAGGAGAAACATAAAAGTAAGTTGAAAGCAGTCGGAATGGAGACCTTAAGTCTGTGCAGTAAAGCCAGAAGCATCAAGAACGAGAATGGATGGAGTGAGTGACCAGTGGTTGGCTTGTCCAGAGAGACTGAATGAGGATCCAGTTGCACACTTGGCAGGTGAAGGAAGAGGGGACAGGTGGAAAGAAGGAGAAGAGCGAGAAAGTCATGGATGGCATCAAGGAGGACTCCGAAAGAGGTGAGACGTTTCAAGGTCATGTACGAAGGGCTGGTGGAGGTGG